CTGTAACATTCCTTAACATCTTTAGAAATCTAAGGCCGCCCTTTAGGTGCCCGCCACCTTTCATGGCAGTGTTTAGCCTCGGCCTGTTGTTGCTGTTTTGGTCAAACGTTGAGCACATGATCGTGTTTCAGTCTCTCACACTCCAGCCTGGCAGCCACACCTGGTTCAGCTCAAGGTTATAATAGTTTAGGGTTTTTCATTATAGTTTAATTTTGTTGTGACTGTTTTCTTTTAATTCAGTTAGTTTTAATTTGTTTTTAAATTTCTAGTTTTTATTAGTTATTATTTCATTTTTGATACTTGGCTTTAGTTTAGTTTAGTTTTCATTAGTCCTAGTATTAGTTTTTCATAGTTTGAATAAAAGTATTTCATTTAATTTTTTTTCAAATTTTTTTATTCATTTCATTAAAAAACAAAATTTTATACACAATAAAAGTAAAAAATACAAACACAATGAAACGAAAGGAAGCAGAGAGAAGAATAAAATCTTATTTCTGCCCCCTTTTTCCTCAAGTATAAATTTAAACAATAATCCTCAGTTAACAAGAACAACAAATCAGATGTTTACACATTATATTGTTTCATTTTTTTTCACCAATCCCACCTTTATCATTCTCTTGAACAAGTACTTTGATTTGGCACTTTTCACATCATTTTCCAGATTATTCCATAATCTGACTCCTTGGATTGGGCTGCAGCGTTCTTTCAAACAGGTTTTAAATTCAGGTTTCATGAACATCTCTGTCCTTTAAGATTATAACAGCTCTCTCTCTCTTTGTAAAGTTTTTCTGGGTGTTTATAAGTAATGTGTTTAGGTGAGTCTTATACATAACTAACAAAAATATTGTAATCAACTAAATCATAACGTTTCAATAATTTCAGTTTACAGAATAATATATTAGATGAATAATAGTAATGTTTTTGACTGTTAACTCATAGCTCTATTTGCTGAGGTGTCCTCCCACTTCAGGTGTTCTTGTGAGTTCACTATTTGGTTCCCAGTGAAAACAGACCATTATAGCAACATCTTCCTAAAATAATCACATAATTCAACTTCACCAACAAAGGTGATTATTTTAGGAAGGTAAGGACAGTCGTCTCCAACCTGGTGCCTGGTCGGGCTGGGGCTTGTTTTTCATGGGGGCGACTGAGAGAGCTTGTCAAGATACTCAATTAATTAGTCCCTTAAGAAGTATTCAACCTTTTTTATCACCTGTTTCCACTACAAGACATTGGCTTTTTTTTTCTAAGTCATTCAAAAAAATCCCAAATTGAACTTTTCTGTTTTCTCCCAATTTTTGTTGTTATTTTGCAGGCGAGTGCCGAGCAGCAGCAGATTGTAAACAAATGACGTTCCAGGCCCTCCATGAGGTGCTGTAAGCCAGTGTTTCCCAAAGTTGGGGTCGGGACCCAAAGTGGGGTCCCGAAACATCAAGGTGGGGTCCTGAAAAGATTTTCTGAATTAAGTACATTTTTGCCTTAGTTGTTATAAATGAGTGAGGTTAGTGTATTTAAAATGGATAAATGTAGTATAAAAATATTGTTACTATGCCCATGTTTTGTTGACCTGATGCAAATGTTTATCATCCAAAAACAGTTGTGGGCTCAGGTCTCTGCTGCTGTTATTTTGTGGGTCAAAAGGTAAAAAGTTTGGGAACCACTGCACTTTGGTTCCCAAAGTTGGGCTTGGGACCCAATAATGGGTCATGAAGCGCCTTGGATAATCTCCAGAAATCAATTTAAAGTGTAATAAAATAATTGCTGATGTAATACAGTATATTCCCTATAATTATTACAAAAGCACAAAAAAGTATAAATAAGTGTTTATATTTGTGTACAAGCTGTTTAGATTGTCAAAACGCCTGTGTTTTTAGGGTTATTGATGATGTTCATGAACTCAGACCAGTAATATTTGGGGTCACCATTTTTTGCCATGGATATTTTGTGAATCAGAAGATAAAAGGTTTGGAAACCACTGCTGTAAGCTGCTGTCAGCTAATGTGAAACTGCTAGGTTTGGAAAAAAAGATTTGTTTAATCAGTCCACACGGCTTAAAATTAATTGACAAACGCTGAAACTGAGGATATTCTATTTCAGTTTGAGTTTTGTAAAAAGATTATACAGTTTTAGTTATCGTTTTT